TGAACCCAGGAGGCGGAGGTTGCGGTGAGCCGAGATCGCGCCATTGCACTCCAGCCTCCTGGGTTCAGGCAATTCTCCTGCCTCAGCCTCCTGAGTAGCTGGGATTACAGGCACGTGCCACCATGCCCAGCTAATTTTTTGTATTTTTAGTAGAGACGGGGTTTCACCATGTTGACCAGGATGGTCTTGATCTCTTGACCTCGTGATCCACCCGCCTTGGCCTCCCAAAGTGCTGGGATTACAGGCTTGAGCCACCGCGCCCGGCCACTTTTTGTGTTTTTAATAGAGACAGGGTTTCACCATGTTGGCCAGGCTGGTCTCGAATGGCTGACCTCAGGTGATCCACCCGTCTCAGCCTCCTAAAGTGCTGGGATTACAGGCATGAGTCACTTCACCTGGCCTTGGCTAATTTTTTGTATTTTTTGTAGAGATGAGGTTTCACCATGTTGTGCAGGCTGGTCTGAACTCCTGAGCCCAAGCAATCCACCCGCCTTGGCCTTCCAAAGTGTTGGGATTACAGGCGTGAGCCACAACACCTGGCCTTATTATTCTAATTTAACACGCTTACACCTAGTATTAATTTCCTTTTGTCACTCATTCCCAATGTACTATGGCAAAAAAAAAAAAAAAAATCTGATAACTAGAAATGTCAAAAAATGAACACTGCATATATGTGTAATATAAATACACACTTTATATATATGTAATTACATATACATGTAGGTTTTTTACGGCTTATATTTTAGATTTATATAGTAGCAGTCCTCCAATGAATTTAACATGTATCATTATGCACTGGTGGCAAACATTCTACTTTTTTTATTTTTATTTTTATTCTTTTAAATATTCTACTTCTTACATACAATAATTGGAAGAGACTAAAGTATTTGACTTGCCCACAATCAAGCAAAGACTGAAATTTCCTCTTTGGTGTTCTCAGAAGAAATTGGCACCATTGGGTAAAAGATTGACATGAATATATTGTGAAGTAGCAGCAGCTAAGGGATTATCGCCCTTGATATCTTGTTGGACTCTTTGCTTAAACCATCTGCTGGGTTTGACCAGCAAATAAACTCTAACTCCTGATTGTTTTTGTTAGCTCGAAGAGTGTGGAAAAACTACCTTCCTGCTATCAATGGCATTGTATTTCTGGTGGATTGTGCAGACTATGAAAGGCTGTTAGAATCAAAAGAAGAACTTGATGTAAGTTACATAATTGAAACTAAATATAGTCAAATCACTGTGGTAAGTCTGAAGAAGTTGGTTGGAGATATGGTTATTAGAGTGCTGCTTTTCTGCAGTCTCTGATGAAACTCTTCGCAATTTGTTGAGCTAAATGATTGCTTTAAGTGGTGACTACTCAGAGTGCAGAGGGCCCGGGCTTGGTGGCTCATGCCTGTAATTCCAGCCCTTTGGGAGGCCGAGGTGGGTGGATCACTAGATCAAGAGATTGAGACCATCCTGACCAACCTGGTGAAACCCCGTCTCTGCTAAAAATATAAAATTTTTTTTTTTTTTTTGAGACGGAGTTTCGCTCTTGTTACCCAGGCTGGAGTGCAATGGCGCAATCTCGGCTCACCGCAACCTCCGCCTCCTGGGTTCAGGCAATTCTCCTGTCTCAGCCTCCTGAGTAGCTGGGATTATAGGCACGCACCACCATGCCCAGCTAATTTTTTGTATTTTTAGTAGAGACGGGGTTTCACCATGTTGACCAGGATGGTTTCGATCTCTTGACCTCGTGATCCACCCGCCTCGGCCTCCCAAAGTGCTGGGATTACAGGCTTGAGCCACCGCGCCCGGCCTAAAAATATAAAAATTAGCTGGGCATGGTGGTGTGTGCCTGTAGTGTCAGCTACTCAGGAGGCTGAGGCAGGAGAATCACTTGAACCAGGAAGGTGGAGGTTGCAGTGAGCTGAGATCATGCCACTACACTCCAGCCTGGTAACAGAGCGAGACTCTATCTCAAAAAACAAAAAATAAAATAAAATGCAGAGGGAGTAACTTTGAGTAACTGTAGCTATTGAGAAGGTACCAACACAGACATCTTTATGAAGACTTAAGAAGCTCACCCTGTACAGAATATACCTTTTTAGTATATTTCATGTCTGCTGTATTCCTAGAGTGGGTTGATCTTGAGTCCCTGGTCATGCTAGGATGTTATTTCTTAAGCCACAACCTGAAATGATAGGACATGCCATCTTTGACACTACTCCCAGGAGTGAGCAGAGGCATATGTAGCTACCTCCTCTCCAGTATCCCAGGTCACATACTTTGTAAAGGGGCCCAACAGCCGCAGACAAGGTCAACACTAGATCTGGGGCCACAGAGTAAGCAGGTCCATGATCTGAATGAAGGTTGATCCTACCATACCTCTGCCCAGAGCAGGCAAACAAATACTTGTACATGTGGAAAAGTCCAGGTAGGTTCTATGGTTACGAAACAAGAACAGAGAATGCCCGAGTTCCTACTTTGCCCCAGAGACTGTGTGTGTTACTTCATTTAATTCTCAACTTCATAGGGTAGATACTACTGTTCCTAATTCTCTCTAGAGCTTCAGTCAGCCTAACTTGCCCAAAGTTACACCTCAGAAGCAGTAGAGGCTGGGTCTGGTAGCTCATGCCTGTAATTCTAGCACCTTGAGAGGCTGAGGCGGGTGGACTGTGAGGTCAGAGGTTTTAGACCAGCCTGGTCAACATGGTGAAACCCTGTCTCTACTAAAAATACAAAAATTAGCTGGGTGTGGTGGTGCATGTCTGTAATCCCAGCTACTCAGGAGGCTGGGGCAGGAGAATCGCTTGAACCCAGGAGGTGGAGGTTGCAGGGAGCTGAGATTGCACCATTGTACTCCAGCCTGGGCAACAGGGCATGACTCCATCTCAAAAAAAAAAAAAGAAAGAAAGAAAGAGACAGCAGTAGAACCAGAAGTAAAACCAGATCTGTCCACCTCTAAGGTGCTGATTCTATACACTCTATGTCACTGCTTTACAGGGTGAGCAGAGTACACATTTGCAGGAAGAGTCCTAGAAAGACAGAAGAATTGAGCTTATGGTTTCATTGAGGTCACTTTATTTATTTATTTATTTATTTTGAGACGGAGTTTCGCTCTTGTTACCCAGGCTGGAGTGCAATGGCGTGATCTCGGCTCACCGCAGCCTCCACCTCCTGGGTTCAGGCAATTCTCCTGCCTCAGCCTCCTGAGTAGCTGGGATTACAGGCATGTGCCACCATGCCCAGCTGATTCTTTGTATTTTTAGTAGAGACGGGGTTTCACCATGTTGACCAGGATGGTCTCGATCTCTTGACCTTGTGATCCACCCGCCTCGGCCTCCCAAAGTGCTGGGATTACAGGCGTGAGCCACCACGCCCGGCCCTGAGGTCACTTTAAAATGTGGGGAAAGTTTGCTAAAGAAAGTTGGTATTACATGATATGGTAGAAAATGAGTCCTTTACTATTTTATCATATCAAAATAAATTCTTTGGATGGTTTCATATCAACTCTTGTTTTTTATAGTCACTAATGACAGATGAAACCATTGCTAATGTGCCTATACTGATTCTTGGGAATAAGATCGACAGACCTGAAGCCATCAGTGAAGAGAGGTTACGAGAGATGTTTGGTTTATATGGTCAGACAACAGGAAAGGTAAAAAAAAAAAATTATGATGGGTATGAATGTTTAATTCTATGGTACAAATGTCTTCTTAAATTACTATTGTCCAACTATACAAGCCCATTATCATTCTTTTTTCTTAAAGAAAACTGTCATTTATACATGTGGGTCTTCTTAGTGTCTTCATTTCTTTCTACCACGGAATGAAACCTTTTCTTGGTGACAATAAAAATGTCAAGGATCAGTTATGCCTAAGGCTTGTGGTTATGGGAAACCAAATTAAAGCTTTCAAAGTTATTTATCATGCATTTTGAGAATCAGCCCCCAAACTATGTATTTGAGTGTTTAAGCATGGCAGTAGTGTGTTTAGGCCCCTGAGTTCACCAGAGATAAATAAGACATAAACCTGGTCATAGGAATATTTTAGGGTTTTCTGAACATACACTTTATAGTAAGCTTTAAGATGCATTGTTTTGGTATTCACTTTTCTTAGGATTTGTTTTGGGGGAAACATCAGCATTGAAAAATTCCAGATAAACAATGGAAGAACCCCAGAGGTTCACAAAATTTTCTTGGTTTACATATACTATTTCAGGGTGGAAAAATACTGCAGCATACAGCAGGAGGCTCTTATGTTAGACAAAGTAGACTTTGGTCTGTTTTCTGTCTTTTTTATAAATTTGCTCCACATTAATTTTAGGAAATGCCTTGTTTGGTCACAAACCTTCTCAGGGAATGTTTGTGTTTAATATTAGCGAAGTCAGTTTGGGTTTTTTCTAAGTCAGATTATTTTCATCCTTGGGTATCTCGCAAGCTCACCTCTTTCCCACTGAGTGGCCATCCTGTCCTAAGGTAGCATGAGAGAAGGAGGCTTTTTGTGATGTTTAGGGGACCTGGATGCCAAGCAGCCATGACTTTAACATAGACACGGATTTATCACAGTCACTCTTTGTTCTAAAATAGAACCTATAATTCTGCTGGGATGTGGGGCTTTATTAATTTCATAAAACTCCAACAAAATATCTCTCTTCTATTCTAGGGGAGTGTATCTCTGAAAGAACTGAATGCCCGACCCTTAGAAGTTTTCATGTGTAGTGTGCTCAAAAGACAAGGTTACGGAGAAGGCTTCCGCTGGATGGCACAGTACATCGATTAACACAGACCCATTGTGGTTCCAGGTCTCAACGTTCAGGCTTACTTAGAGATTTGATTGCTCAACATGCATAACTTGAATTCAATAGACTTTTGCTGGTTATAAAACATGTTTTTTAGATTATTAATATTATATCAACTTAATTGGAGTGAGAATTGAAAACTGATTCAAGTAAGTTTCAATATCACAATGTTAGCTTTCTAATTCCGTAAAAGTAATTGGTTTTTACAGTTTATAATCTGACATCACCCCAGGGCCATTTATAAAGAGCAACTTTCCAGCAGTACATTTGAAGCACTTTTTAACAACATGAAATTATAAATATAAACCATATTTAAAAGCTCATCATGTTAAATTTTTTATGTACTTTTTTGGAACTAGTTTTTAAATTTTAGATTATATGTCCATCTATCTTAAGTGTACAGTTAATAATTAGCTTATTCAATGATTGCATGATGCCTTACAGTTTTCAATAACATTTTTTCTTATGCAAACGTCATGCAATAAAACAAACTCTAATGTTTGGCATCCTTGTTGGGCAAATGTTTCATTTAAATGTGTCTTATCTAGTTAGTATACTCTGAAAATTTTAGTATTTAACATTAGACATATGAGGTGGTTGTTGGGAAAGGAGATTCCTTCAGAATATTTAGATAGCATTTAAGCCTCTCAAGGCTTTTATATTTACCATGAGACGGTTGTGGTCAGTTGCACCTGATACCACATATCACTGAATCATGTGTATTTTTATTAGCGATGTGGCCACTGCCATTGCTGATGGGGTCTGTGTCCTAGTCCCTGTGGGATTGGCCTTCTGAAGAAAAGCACATTTATGGTACACAAGGTTGATTCTCAGTTTGGTAGGCCCTATAGTTCCATCCCAGTTGTCTGATTCTGAAGTGCTCCAGTCTTATTGGTGCCCAATTGGGTAATCTGATGCCTCTTCCCCAAAAGTAATGACAGGCCCCAGTCTCTCTACATTTAGATGTACTCCCAGTCTCTTTACATGTAACGGTACTCCCTGGGGCAAGCAACAAGTAGGATCTTGTTCACAGTTTCTTTTTTTTTTTTTAAAGACGAGGTTTCACCATGTTGGTCAGGCTGATCTTGAACTCCCGACCTCAGGTGATCCGCCTGCCTTGGCCTCCAAAGTGCTTGGATTGGATTATTCCCGGCCTTGTGTGCAGTTTCATTGCAGAGACCTGCATATCTGAGGAATAAAACAGCTTGTTCTGCAGCAGTCTGAGATATGTGGAGATTTTGTTCCTATCCTATAGCTCTTTTGTATTCTTTGTCATATTTTATTTTCTGGCAGAAGAAAACAAGTGCTGGTTTCTAATTTTCTTTTTTCTTATTTGCTGTCATGTAGTTCTTACTTTATAGAACAAAGACTTTTTGTTTGTCTTTTTTTGTTTTGTTTTGTTTTAGAGACAGTGTTTCACCATGTTGGCCAGGCGGTGTCAAACACCTGACCTCAAGTGATCTGCCCGCCGTGGCCTCCCAGAGTGCTGGGATTACAGGTGTGAGTTACCATGTCTGGCCTGACTTTTGTTTTTAGATATTATGCTTGCCATGTGATAGGGCCTGCAAACCTCATTGCCAGGCTTACTAAGAAAAATTTAGTTCTTCAAAAGCATTATAATTTCCTAAGAAATTGAATTTTTTTATGTTTGAGATTCCATCATTAGTAAGATAAGATGAAAGGTAAGTGCCAAAAATGTATTTTTAAAGACTCTCAAGTTTAAGGTTTCTCTTCTGATTATAAGCCAAGTTTTATAATATATCTAACCAATTCCACCATGAATAATTTTAATATCAAAAATTAGTGTTTTCTGTAGCCATTGTCCATGTTAGAGTTACAGTCCTTTTTGTCATCGATAATATAACCTATAAAGCAGATGAGAATTGAGGAATATGACTGGAAGGAATTACTATTTAGCTAAGCTGACAGGGTCTCTTCTTAAGATGACATTTGGTTTCAGTACTCTGACTTTTCTGATTCACTTTCATCTTCTTTCTAAATGAAAATGAAAGAGCTCCCTCCCTTCCTAGAAACATCAGTAACACTAAGGGAAAAGTAGAACATGACATTGCAGCCCATTGATTTCTTCTTCCAGATAGGTTTCAAGTGCTTACTCCTTCAGTGCTGACTAAATAGAACTAAGCCTTATGAAAAGTAACTGCCTCTTGTTCATGTTACCTGTCTTCAGTATTCAAGTGTTTTCTAGAGTATCCACTGTGATACTGAAGAAGTTAATTATTTGTGTTGTAAATTGTTATGAAGGAAACAATGTCCTGGTTTCCCTAGCCAGGAAAAATGCTTCCTGGTATAATCTCTCTCTCACTCCAGAACCCTCATTCTAATTGTAACACTAAGGTCAAAGAAACAAATAGTCACTTTGTGGACCGCAGCTAAACTCTGGATATTTTCCCAAAGATGTAAGATTTTTATGGCTCGAGCCTCTACAAAGGAAGCTATGTTTAGCAGCAACCAGCTTTCCTTCCAGCTCCAAGAGGCAGAGTTCCTGAGCCAGAGGACTTACCGTCTAGCTCTGAGAACCTCTCTGTAGTATATGCACTGGGTACTGCTCTTTTTCAAGAGAGCCAAATTAAGAAGATGGCAAGAAACAGTAGAAGCACAGAAGGAAGACAACTCTGTGTGTGCCTATGTGGATATGTGCGACTAGGGAGTAGTTTCCAGGTACATACTAGTACTAGGGACATAGGCTAATTTTGTGTCCCACACTGTAAAATGTTAGCGGGTGGTTGTTAACACTGTGGTATACAAGTTCAGACTGGATTCAGGCACTGTCCAAAAGATTTTTTAAAATCTAAAGTTTGAAATGTAAAAATATAAGGTCTCAACCCACTTTTACACTTTTAAAGAGATTGTTACCCCACACCTGTTTCACTGACTGCTGTTAATTACAGTTTTGGATCATAGGTGGTTAAATTGATAGACTTCAGTTTATCTCAGTGAATTTTTGGAATGGACATTATAGCATTTTTTAAAATTGGGAATAGACATTTCCTAAAGTATGTGAAAACAAATATTCACTATTGACTTGGTTAAACCAGTATCTTTGTATGAGTGCCAAAGATATGTGAATGCAGATACTGCCTGTGTAGATCTAAATTTTAGTTTGGTGTGTCTGTATCCATATACAATTTTTTGGTGGTTTATAGCATAAAAGCAGAATATTGGTTTTTTTCTTAGTTTTCAATCTGCTCATACTACTTTATAGTGCTTTCCAAGTATATAAACTACTTGTAAATCATTAAAATAAGGGATAACTGTGATAATAGTGTTTCTTGCCTTCTAGAAAATGATTTTATTAGCGACATTCAAAACCAAGCATTTTCACAGGTTCCATCATTAGAAACAGTATCGTTCTAGTTAACATGATTGGAGAGTTTCAGGGAAAAGGTTTACATTTTCTGAAACTGTATTTGGTATGTGACTCAGTGTGGTATTTTGGTCTTGTTAGTCACTTATATGACTGAAGTTTGCAAGGATTTATTGCCAAGTAAAGTTTGACCAGAGTGTACTGAGAATAGCTACATAAAGGGAAATCTCTCAAAATTCCTTCTGTTCATTTAATTTGGAGCATATTATTTAAATAATTTTAAACATGTAAAAAGTTGGTGAAGCATCAAAAAATCTTCAAGAAACAATGAAAAAATAGAAATTAGCAAACAAATTCCTTAATGCAAAACTAATAGGTAATAAAAGGTAGTCTATATTAAAAGCCAGAGGATCTGCTATAAATATAAGAGTTTAGAAAAACAGTGTACTTCAATTAAGGACTAAATTATCAAAATCGCATTTTTTTTTTTCTTTTCTTTCTTTCTTTCTTTTTTTTTTTGAGACGAAGTCTTGCTCTGTTTCCCAGGCTGGAGTGCAGTGGCATGATTCTTAGTTCACTGCAACCTCTAACTCCCAGGTTCAAGCAATTCTCATGCCTCACCACCCCGAGTAGCTGGAATTACAGGTGCACCCCACCATGCCCACCTAATTTTTAAATTTTTAGTAGAGATGGGGTTTCACCATTTGGCCAGGCTGGTCTTGAATGCCTAACCTGAAATGATCTGCCCACCTCAACCTCCCAGAGTGCTGGGATTATACTCGTGAGCCACTGTGCTGGCCTAAAACTACATGTTTATGCTTCTAGTCGTTTCCATTATTATCCTTCTTTTGAAATTTAAGTTAGTGCTTTTTAACCAAATAAAAGAACCACCTCTTTGAATATATGACTCTGCCTCTGTGTAAAGTGACTGGGATTTTGTTAAAACTATGTTTCGGCCGGGTGCGGTGGCTCAAGCCTGTAATCCCAGCACTTTGGGAGGCCGAGGCAGGTGGATCACGAGGTCAAGAGATCGAGACCATCCTGGTCAACATGGTGAAACCCCATCTCTACTAAAAATACAAAAAATTAGCTGGGCATGGTGGCGCGTGCCTGTAGTCCCGGCTACTCGGGAGGCTGAGGCAGGAGAATTGCCTGAACCCAGGAGGCGGAGGTTGCAGTGAGCCAAGATCGCGCCATTGCACTCCAGCCTGGATAACGGGCGAAACTCCGTCTCAAAAAACAAACAAACAAACAAAAAACTATGTTTCTACTTCTGAACCCTGTAACCATTCCCCCTCAGAAATCCACTCCCAACACCTGGATTTTAAAGATCCTCCAGTGTCAAGGGAAGCTATAGAGTCTATTAAAGATGCAGTTCTGAACCAATTAATTTTTGTCCTTATAATGTAGAGCATTAAGTAGCTAATATATTTAATGCCACTAATTGTTGTTCAGGGCTTTCATCATACTATTAAACAGAATCCAAAGTAATCAAAGGAAAGTAAGTGAAGTTATCCAAAGCCAACTTTGTTTCTGGTGTGTCCCCTGCCCCAAATAGATTTTAGGGCAGAAATAGAAAACTGAGTTTACACAGAAGTATTTTTGGAAAAGCTACAGCACTGAAGTAGATGGATTCTTCTTCAGTATACTTTTTTTTTTTTTTTTGAGATGGAGTCTTGCTCTGTCACCCAGGCTGGAGTACAGTGGTGTGATCTCCACTCACTATCACCTCCACCTCCTGGGTTCAAGTGATGCTCCTGCCTCAGCATCCCAAGTAGCTGGGATTACAGGCGCCCACCACCACAGCTGGCTAATTTTTGTGTTTTTAGTAGAGACAGGTTTCACTATGTTGTCCAGGCTTGTCGAACTTCTGACCTCACGTGATCTGCCTGCCTTGGCATCCCAAAGTGAGTGCTAGTGTTACAGGCATGAACCACTGCGCCTGGCCAGCATGCATTTTAAATAGTGGCTTAGATTTAGTTTAAAATATTTGGGGGTGAAAGGCAGGGACAGTTCTGTTTTTGACATACAGGTTTTCTTTGGGATTGTTTTCATTTTCGAGTATGGATTCATATCAGAATGGCCAGTTTAACATGGGTTTCTGTATTCCCTGGTGTTGTTCCCAACCTGAACTAATAATCAGTTGCCATACTGAGGCAAGAGCACTCAGGGTGAATGTAGTCAGG